TCAGGAGGCTGAGGCAGGAGGACTGTTGCGAGTGCGAGGCCAACCTGGGCTACAAAGTGAGCTCAAGGCCAGCCTGAACTGCATAGTGAGACCATGTCTCAAAAATACCCAAAAAAGGGGGCTGGGGATTTAGCTCAGTGGCACAGCGCCTGCTTGGCAAGCGCAAGGCCATGAGTTCAATTCCCGGTACCAGGGAAAAACAAAACAAAACAAAACAAAACAAAACAAAACAAAACAAAACAAAACAAAACAAAAAAAAGAAAGTCTATAATGCCCTAGCAGCGATGCATAGTTTGTATCAAGTTCGTTCTTCCTCTCCGCAAGCTGGACTGCCTCCAGGAGCTTTACAACGCCTATTTCTTCAAAGCCCACTTGGACCAGGTGCTCAGGTGAAGAGGCTGGAGATCTTTCTCTGAAGATCAGAGGAAATCCTGTGTTACAAGTCACACTGGGGGACACCTGCTGTCTGCCAGCTATTTATGATTTAAATGTGATAGAGATATTAGAATGTCTGAATTGTTCTATTTCTACTGTATCTGAAGCAAGGTCGGACAGAACCACAAACATAAAGACAGCAGGCTAAGTAAGCTGTGGTAGTTTGACTGGAAAGGGCCATTGTATTAGCAAGACAGCTTTGGGGTCAGAGTGAGAACAGGTTTGTCAAGTTTCCTTAGAAATCCTGTTTAAATTAAGGTGCTGGGAAAGGAAAAAGACGGAGTAAAGGCAAGGAGCAGTGACAGACTCTGCTGAGGACCCAGGATTTTCAGTGAGCCCTGCAACGGGCAGCCCCAGGCCAGATCTGGCCCGATTACTCTTTTTGTTTGTTTTCTGGTACAGGGAATTGAACTCACAACCTTGCGCTTGCCAGGCAGGTGCTGTGCCGCTGAGCTAAATCCCCAGCCCCTGGCCTGATTACTCTTTTCTGTCTACTGCTGGCCTTGCCTGGCAAGACATAGTTTTCTGCTCAGCAATTAGGAAAGGGGATGTAGAGGCTGCACGGAATCAGTCAATTAAGGGATGAGAAAGGCCTCAGCCTAAACTAGGTGACTTCTCACCAGGAAGGAAAGTGCTTGGCCAAAGGAGAGCCAAAGTGTGGCCCTTTGTATGTTAAACATGTTATTTTGATCAATTGGGTACTAACAATTATAAGAACTGTATTTTAAAGAATTTTTTGATACTAGGAGACTCCGGACAAAGGGAAGATATTAAAATTTCATTTTTGTTGCAGAGAAGTAAACCAGAGTAATTAACAAAAGACTTTTTCCTCTCAGTTCTGGGAATTGGACTCAGGGCATTCACACTGATCTACATCCCCAGTCCTTTTAAAATTAACTTTTAGACAGTATCTCGATAAATCACTGAATTGCCCAAGCTGATTACAGGTGTGTGCCACCACACCTGGCTAACAAAAGACTTGTAAGAATAAGCAGTTAATATATTAAGCTAAAAGACAGAGATGAAAGTGGAATGGAAATGATTGCAAGAAAAAGATACAATGAATATACCTTTGAATGTTAAAAACAGAGATTGCTCACATGTTTAATGAATAATGGCATAAAATTGCAATGATATTTAACTTCCACTGGATAGGTTTTAAACAGTAATATAATAATCTTACTGTATTTTAAAATGTCAGTATTAAAAATATGCTAGAAATTACGTCTTCACAGTATTTGACTTGTGAGTAAAATTTTTAGATGTTGACATAAAAAGGGGTGCATTTGAAATCTGTGATCCCATGCTGCCTGTAATCCCATACTTTGAGAGGCTGAGGCAGGAGAATCATTCAAGGAAAATGTAGCAAACCATTTTAAAACCCTTTGCTCTTAAAAAGGAAAATTAGGCTTAGTAAATGATATGGCAAGATATACTATCATAGGCAAGTGTGCTAAAGAGACAAAAATAGTGTTGACTTCTGACACATACCAGCTGTCTGAACTTTTATAAGTTGTTACACCTCTTATTCTCAATTCTCCCAGCTATAAAATGGTAAGCGTGTGGTACAGTGGCATACATCTGTAATCCCAGCTACTCGGGATACTGAGGCAGAAGGATCTTGAGTTCAAGGCCAGCCTGGGCAACTTCACAATTTAACTGTTTCAAAATTTAAAAAAATAATGGAAAGGGCTGGGGATATAGCTCAGTGTGAAGGTTTTGGATTTAATCCTCAGTCCTGGGGGGGTGGGAATGAATAAGAATATTTGTTGTAAGAAAAAAGAGAGACTATTTACAAGGGAAGTCACTCAGCTCTTTGATCTTAGAAGTTACCTATTAAATTCTCTTCCCCAGGAAATAGCCATGGATTTTTAATTTTTCCAGATTTGAAGTTCATGAATTGTTGTGTGGAGATATTCTTCACTAACATTATTATTAGAGTATGGGTTCACTTAACATGCCTTAACAAAGTAAAGTTGTGGTTTATTGTGCCCTATGCAGGGTTATGGAAAAACATTTTCAGTATGAAGAATATGGACGGTCAATTAAAATAAGTAGGCCAAGGGATCGTTCTTGGTTTCTTCATTTTCAATTTTACTTCATTCTCCAATTAGACAAGAACTCACTCTTTCAAATAAGAAATAACTAAGGTACATAATAATTGACAAAATATCATATAGCATGATTCTTATCCATAAGCGATATTGAGAATGCTGAAGTCATGGAAGCAGAGGTTCACCATGAAATATATTAGATAATAACATAAACATGGGGAAGTATATTCTTTTAGTAAAAATTACAACAAAGTGATAAAAAATGAGTTCATCCAAATAATTACACATTAAACTAGATATAAGATTTATTATTAATATAACTTTATTAAATATGCACCATTTTTGTCACCTATAAGGAAGTAATAAAATTGTTAAGAAAAGTTTCTAAATGGAAAAATATACTTAGAAAAGTACACGGATTAATTTATTTTCCAGAAAAATTTAAAAGGATCATACTGGCTATTTTCCTGTTATCCATAAACTTCAAGCATGCCTTTCTTTATTCTGCAAAGTAGAGGCTAGGACTCCAGAACAGGCATTTCCCACACTCCTTGCTGGTTGGTTTCTGTTATAGTTTGCCTTCATTTCCAGTTAAGGAACATGGAGAGGCAAAAAGCAGACAGAACCACGAGCTTCCCATTTTCCAATTCTGTCACTATCTCTCTAGCAGCAGATTCAGCAGATTCCTTCTGCTCTGTCTGCAGCACACACCATAACCAGGCTGAGACCCTTCCTCAGAGCTCCAGCTCTGGTAAATCCATCTTTTCCTTTTGTTCCCTAAATTCTAGAGTGTAACCTGCTTCTTGAAGTTACAGATCTCCCCCTTTTTGTCCTCTTAGTCCTCCAAATTACATAATAAATTTCCTGTAATTAAATCTCCTCGGAAATTCCCTGTGTGGTTCTACTTTCTTGATTAGACCCTGATGGTCAGAGCGCTACCAGTATTTGTTTTAGCAGAGCAATCACTTAATTTCGGGGGGTATACTTTGAGCAGTGACACTGTCACTTACTCCGTGGAAACGTCTGATACAAGAAAAGTAAATAAAGGACAAAAAGCCTTCCCATGATCAAATACTGACATACAAAGAGATAGCTACACACACCAAAGTGTCTCTTAGTTAGCCAAAGTGTCTTTCAGTCAGACACCTATAAACCCAGTGCTCTGCAAGACTAAGGCAGGAGGGTAGGAAGTTTAAGAGCAGCTCAGGCAATTCAGACAGAGGGTAGAGCTTTCAAACAAAACCAGTTGACTGCTTTCCTTTGAAAGCAAAAGTGCCCAATTTTACAGAGTAAACAGCAATCATTTGAGCCCTCATAGCCAGACTTCTACGTCCAAATCTCTCTGGTCTTAGCCATTAAAAGATTCTCTTTGGCAGGGGATTGGGTGCTATGCCCTCCAAGAATGGATTCTCAAGAAATTTCTCCTTGCTTCCTCCTTTCCAGGATTTTGTAAAGGGCCTTCTCTCTGAGAGCTACACCCCCAGCCTCTAACCTCCCTTTTTAAAGCTACAGTCTCACTAAACTGCGAAATTGTCCACTGGGGGCTTGAATTTGGGATCCTCCTGCCTCACCTCCCGGAGTGCTGGGAATACAGGTGCACTGCCGTGCCCTAATTGTGGTGGGCAGTTTTCTGAGTCCTAATTGAAGTTGTAAAGTGGAACCACAGTAAGAACACCAGAACAACATGCTACCAAATTACTAACGGCTCTGGTGCTAATGAGCAACCTCGTAAAAACGGATTACTTTGGGGTGCAGAGAAGGGATATTAAAGTAACTCTGACCTCATCCACGGCGAGGGATTAGTGTAGAGGAACAGATGGAAAGCCAGCCAGACACTCACACAGACACACATAAGTTTTTCTCCCAGATTCAACCTTAAGCGCAAACCCAGAAACGAAAAAAGCTTCTCAGCCGTTCGCAGCCAAACAACTGCGGCTTCTACAAGAACAATGACAAATGGTCACCTCCACTCCCAGAGGTGGCCAGTCCCACCCACGATCCCACTTTTTCGGCATCGCACACCCCAAACCCACACAACCGAGGAGAGTGATTTAAAATTCAGAAGCTTGGTGCGGTGTGGTGGCGAACGCCTGTTACCCCAGCACTCTGGGAGGCTGAGGCAGAAGAAGCCCTACCTGGACACCTTAGTGAAACCCTGCCTAAAAATAAAATGGGCTATGGATGTAACTCAGTAAGAAGGGCTCAGCCCTCAGCACCAAAATAAATAATCAGAAGCTCAGGGAGAATTTGTCGTCCTCTTTTGGTGCACGAGCACAAAGGTGTGCAGAACAGAGGTGTGTAACCACCACACTCAAGCGTTGAATCACAGCCAGTAACTCGGCAGAACTCGGCTTCTTCACATAAAGTAAGCACAGCCCACACACCCCAGTGCACCACTCACAGGGCGCAGGCACTAAGCGGCGATGTATCGCAGTGCTTTCTGGGAAATGTAGTTCAGCACGGAAGACTGCGGCGCGAAGCACTCTGGGGCTGGTAGTTTGTAGGGCCGGACGGAGACCGCTGAGTCGCCAGTTCAGATCCATCTGAGCTCCTTCCTGCACTCCTCAGTTCTCTCCCTGCCCAGCCACGCGAAGGATTCTGGGCATTGACGTCGCGGGTCTAGATCTCAGGACCAGTTTCCAGAGCCCTCGGCACTGAAAGGTGAGTTAGGCCCGATCGCAGGTGAGGGAGGGAGATCGGGCCCACTGGGGATGAGCCGGTGGGGAGAGCGCTGGCACCGCCAGGGATGCTGTGTGTGTGACAGTGTGCCACTATGTTACCTTGTATAAAGTATGTGATAGGCTGTGGGTGTGCCAAAATATTATCTTGTGTGTGCATGCCTGTGTGTGACTGTCTCTGAGAGGAAAATTGCAAGTAAGTGTGTTTCTTGTGTGACTGTCCCTGCAGGTACAACTGTGTTACTGTGTATAGATTTGTGAGACACCGAGGTGTGACATTGTGTATGTGTGTGTATGTGACTTGTTTGACTACCTATCTCTGCAGACACAATGTGTGTGTGACAAAAGATGATTATGACCATGACCACCTGTTCCTCAAGGTATAATAATTGTGGCAAGGGGCTGGGGATTTAGCTCAGCGGCAAAGCACCGGCCTGGCAAGCTCAAGGTCGTGAGTTCGATTCCCGGTACCACAAAATAAAACAAACGAAAAATAATAATTGTGGCAAAAAGTGCAACCATGTGTGACATGCCACTGTGTGTGTAACAGTGTGTAACTGTCTCTTCTGTGTGATCACCTCTGTCCTTGTGCTAATATGACTGTGTATGAGATTATTAGTGTGACTGTATGACTATGTATATTATGTGATTGAGTGAGAATTTGTATGTGTATGTGAGATCATGGGCTTGATTGTCTAGGACCTAGTTTGTGACTGTGAAGCATAAGAAAATTAATATTACTTGCCCCAATCTGGGCATGGTGGTGCACACCTGTAATCCAAACACTCTAGAGGCTGAGGCAGGAGGATTGTTGCGAGTTCGAGACCAGCCTATGCTACAAAATGAGCTCAAGGCCAGCCTGAACTGCATAGTGAGACCCTGTCTCAAAAAGACAAAAAAATATATATGTATTACTTGCCCAGAATTACACAGTTATTAAGAAACAGTGCCAGGAGTCAAACCTGGGCAGTTTGGCTCTAGGGTTCTTCTTTTTAATTAATAAATTGCTTTGATTTTTCCCATATTGTGAGAGTGAAAAATGGAATCCCTGAGTTCTGAGAATGTTGGAGAGGGTTGTTTCTGATCTCTGTGTGACATGTAGGCTCAGATAGCCTCGATAGTGAGGAAATAAAGGTTCTGAGAGATGGATTAACTTGTACAAGGTCATGTAGATGAGGAAAGAGGTGAAGTCAACCTGGTTCTGAGCACTATGTAAAACTCAAGTCTCACATTACAACTTCTTTCAGGTACTGACAGTTCAGTTTGAATGTAGAAATACATTTTCTAAGGGTTACAGAGCTATCAGAACGAACAAATAAACAAACAAACCTAGAAACTTAAAAGTAATTTCTTTTATGCAGACACTACTTAAAACCTCTACTTGCAAGCTGGGTATGGTGGTGCACAATTACAGACCCAACTACTTGGAAGCCTGAGGTGGGAGGATCACTTGAATCCATGAATTTGAGACTAGCCTGGGCAATAGGGCAAGAATTTATCTTTATTTTTATTTATTTATTTATTTCCTGGTACTGGGAATCAAACTCATGACCTTGAGCTTGCCGGGCAGGCGCTAAGCTAAATCCCCAGCCCCAAGAATTTATCTTTAAAAAGAGAAAGAGAGCTGGGTGTGGTGGCTCACACCTGTAATCCTAGCACTTGGGAGGCTGAGGTAGGAGGATAGTTATGAGTTCGAGGTCAGCCTGAAGTGCACAGCAGAACTCTTTCTCAAAAAGACGAAAATACATACATAAATCAATAAACAGAGAAAGAGAGACAGACAGACAAACAGACATCTGCTTCCAGTTGCCAATAATACACTGATTCTCCTCTCAGGTTGCAGAGGCTTTTTATGGACAATTTTAAGCTGATTGAACTAAAGAAATAACTTTCCTAGACACTAAATTGGCTAATACAGGGTAGCCCAGAATTAGTTGGTTGTGAATCCTGAGCTATAGGCTGACCACAGTTGTCCCTATTTTCAGAATGGAGAAATGTTGGCTCTGAGAGTGCAAGCAACTTATTTCAGGCTGCAGAGCTTGTTGGTTTAGTATAAAAATTTGGCCGTGTTTCCCTCAGGCTACTGCTTTTCCATGAAGTAACAAAAGTAGTATTTACCATCCCTTCTTTAAGGAGTATGTAACCTCAATTTTGTTGAGTATTTTCTGTCCAGATGTTGAGGTTTTTTGAAAGACGACCAGGTTTTGTTGAGTATTGTTGAGTAATTGACCAAGTTTTGTTGAGTATTTTCCATCGAGATATTGTGACTTCTTGAAAGAACAATTTTTGAGCCACTCATCATTTGGACTTTTATGACTTTGAGTTGATTGTTTAAACTTCTTGAACCTCAATTTCACTTTCTAGTAAAATGGAGATAATAATACCTTCTTTTGCATCTTTTGAGAATTGTATGAGATAATGACATGCACATTAGGCACAATACTACTACATATATTATAGGAGAGACAGTAGATGTATTCATTTATCTGCTAATTTTTGAGCACTTACAATAGTTCTAGTGTTGTTCTAGCACTAGACTACACCAGTGAACCAAGCAAGTACTAGTTTTCTTGGATCTTAAATCTTATGTGGAAAGATAAAGACTAAACACAATGTATGTGATATTGTCAGTAGTGATAAATTCTAAGAAGAAAACTAACTCAGGATAAGGAAAAGGGTAGTAACTAGAAGGAGGTTCTCTGTAGGTAGAATTTGCAGGGAGCTCTCTCTTATACAGTGATAACTGAACACAGACAGGACTAGACCCAGGGAGTGAGACATGTTGGTATTTGGAAGGTGAGCCTTCCAGACAGAAAGAAAAGCAAGAGCAACAGCTGTGAAGGACCAGTGCACATAGTGTTTGAGGAATAATATGGAGAGGAATGAGCAAAAGGAAAAAGGATAGCAAATGAGGTCAGAGGGTAGGCAGGGGCCAGATCATAAACTGCCTTGTTTGCCACAGGATAGACTTAGATTTTCTTCCATTTGGAATATATGTCCTTAATATAGGTTAAGACTTCCAAGGTTAAGTTCAGCATTGACCTTTTTTTCCCCCACATCTTTGAAAAGGTAAGGCTGCTCCACATAAGCAGGACATGGAGATCATAAAGGATAATAGTTATATCTGTGAATCTGACACCAGCAACATAGAACTGGGATGGCATTATTCCTTCTTTGACTCTCCCTTTTCCACATTTTGTTTTTTTACCAAAAGAGAAACTGAAGAAGGAAGGAAGAATGGCGGTTGGACTTTGTAAAGTTATGTCCCAGGTAAGTTGATGCTTTTACTTTGTTTCCAGACATTTCACCTCATTTTTAAAGACTTTGGGACCACAAATGGAATGGGGACAGTGAGTCTAGACTTAGAATAATGTAGGGCTGGGGATATAGCTCAGTGGCACAGTGCCTTGCTTGGCAAGTGCAAGGTCCTGAGTTCGATTCCCAGTACAAAAAAAAAAAAGAAGAAGAATGTAACAAATAGTTACATATGACTGTCCTGAATTGAGATATGCTGTAGCTGGAAAATGCACACTGGCTTTTTAGATTCAGTATAAAAATGAATGTAAGATATCTCATTACTAATTTTTATACTGGTTACATATTGAAATGATAACATTTTAGATAAATTGGGTTAAAATATTAAATTATTTTCACTTATTTCTATTTACTTTTTTAATATGTCTGTTGGAAAACTTAAAATTACATATGTGGCTTTCATAGTTTTATTGGATGTCACTGTTTAGACACTTTTTAGAAGCATTTTGTTATTAAGAGGAGTAGAGAAATGGGACAATAGTAAAGTAAGAACATGGAAGGGAATTTATTTATTCATGTATTTCATTATAAGATAAAAGATACTGCATTGGTTTTTATGTTGATTAGAAGGATCCAGTTGAGTGAGAAATGTGATACAAAGGAAACAGTGTCCCAGTGTGAACAAGTGGAGGGATTGGTCTTAGATAGGAGCATAGAGTTTTATCCATAATAACAGAGGAAAGGCAGTATATGTAAGTATAGGTATAGATCTGTAAGGACATAGAGTGGCAGGAGAATAAGGAAGTTCATAGTGGCAATGAAGAGTTGGTAGTGGTTTGAGAAACAGAAGGTGGGATAAAGTAGTTATATAGAGAGGAGAAGAATGAATTTTTTAGAGATGTGTTGTATAGTTGTCTTACAGTGCTTTTGAGGGATGTATGGTCATATGCTAGAAATCCACATGTGTGTCAGGGTTTCAGCAAGAAACTCAAAGGAGATTATTTCTTTTTTCTTTTTTTAAGGGGATTATTTCTGAGATACTACTTACAGCTGATCAGGCTCCCAATTTTGGGATTAGTTTATGGAAAAGGATTAAATAAAGACAATTACAAATATGGTTTGTGTGGGGTTGAGAAAGGTCAGAATTCTCTTGGAGCTAAAACAAGGGCTTCTCTGGATTGCCATATTTATTGGGTTTCCACAGATTGGGGAGACATGCAGGAAGTAGAGGGTACAAGTGAAAATGAGCAGGGCCTTGAGAAGTTAAAACAAAGGCAGTAACTTTTGCCAATTAAGAGAGCTGTTTGATCTCTAAGGTTGGCAGTTTTATTCCCTTTGAATCCTTTGAGTGAGATGCAGCAGCCTGCAGCTGCAGCATGATCTTGTCTTCAGAGACTGTAGTTAGCAACTTAACCCTTGCACAGCCCAGTCCCACAAGATACTATCAGGATATAGAGAAACTACAAAGAATAGTGCTATATCTGGGGCTCATAAGAGTGTAGACCCTTACTAAGTCTAGGCCTGAGTTGAGAGAGAGCTGAATAGAGAGAGAGAGCCCCAGCAGGCCCTGTGAGCTATAACTGAAGGGCAGAGACCACCCAGGGTGGTGCTTGAGGGATGGATCCAAGGGGAATAAATATATTTATTCACCTCCCCCCAATCTCGTGCATGTGGCTGAACCCAAATAAAAATGAGGTGGGGCAAGGGAGTTTACTGATGCAGTCCATATGTCAGCCTCCTAGAACACAGGAAGAGAAGCGGGGCACATGGAAGTTAAATAGCACTATGTACTTGTATGATTTTTTTTCTCTTTAGGACACATTCTGCCTTATTTCCACTATGTAGAATAACTATATTTGATATTTTATTATTTTTTAATAAAAATTTATACATATTCTACAAACTGAAATGCTATCATTTTGAAGCATTGAGTACTTTTCCTTCAAATATATTATGGAAAGTTCACCTTTTTTTGGTATTGGAGATTAGGCTCAGGGCCTTTGTACTAAATTACATCCCTAGATGTTTTTATTTTTTTTTATTTTGAGACAGGGTCTCAGTAAGCTGCCTAGGCTGGGCTCAAGCTTGCAATCCTCTTTCCTCAGCCTCCTAGAGCACTAGGATTAAAGACATGTGCTACTAACCTTATCTGAAACCACCTTTCATTCACCAAATAACAAATATTTATGCATACCACGTGGTAAGTTTTTAAATTAACACTGGATATACATCAGCTTAAAACACTGATATCCTTCCTCTCATGCAGCTTATAGTTCAGTACTATAGAGTAAGCTATTTTTGGACATGTAAGGCTTTTTTTTCTAGGTTTTTTGTATAATCTTCCAAGGAAAATTCTATTGAAATCTTTTCGCTGGGCCTGGTGGCGCATGCCTGTAATCCCAGCACTCAGGAGGCTGAGGTAGGAGAATCATTTTGAGTTTGAGACCAGCCTGGGCTACACAGTGAGCTCAAGACCAGCCTGAACTGCATAGCGAGACCCTGTCTCAAAAAGATAAACAAACAAACAAACAACAACAAAAAAATGAAATCTTTTCATATATACTTCATTATTCTCTAGGATACATTTCTAGAAGTTTCTCCTTACACATAGAGTCTAAATTTCAGACTATATCTTTTTGGTAAAGCTCAATTCACGGCCTCCCTTTACCACTCAGTTCCATCCAGTATCCCAATATGGGAAATATAAAGAGATTCTCTTTATGATAATTTTCTTCCTTTTCATTGTTTCTTCATCCTTTCCTTTCCTTCCCTTCTTTTTTTCTTTCCTTCCTTCCCTTCTTTTTTTTTTTTTTATTTTTTGTGTTGCTGGGAATTGAATTCAGGTCCTCGTACATGCTAAGCAAGCATTCTACCACTGAGCTATACCCAGAACCCAAGAACTTCTTTATACTTAGTATATGTAACATATAATTTGGCCCTTGTTCATATATTTTTCATGCTATTACCTAAATACACACACATACACACACACACACACACACACACACACACACACATTTTCCACAAAAATGTAAATTTTTAAGAGATGGGTCTGTTTCTAATATTTCTCCTTAAAGTTACAAACCTGCATATGTAATAGTTTGCCGAAAATTATTTTCCTTGGATTATTGAGAGCTTTGGACTTTCAGATTTCAGCTTTTTTTTTTTTTGCAGGGACCATAGGGGAGCCTGAGTACCTGATGAGGAAGAATTTTTTTTTTATTTCAGGGGCTGGTGACCTTCAGAGATGTGGCTCTAGATTTTTCCCAAGAGGAGTGGGAACGGCTTGATCCATCTCAGAAGGATTTATACAGAGAAGTCATGTTGGAGAACTACAGGAACTTAGTATGGCTTGGTAAGGATATTTCTCCCCCATTCAAAATTTCCCATTTGTACTTAGTATATGTACTTAGGAAGCATTTTTGCTTCCTCCACTGAGAATACATAGAGCATCTCATAAGTGATTCATTGAATTTCTGCCTCCTATTTCCAGGAAATGATTTGAAGTAGTTCATAGAGTTGGAAATTAGTAATTCTCTTTCCTGAAGAATGATGGTTTAGAACAGCAATATCAACATGATGTGGGAATTTGTTAAAATGTAAATTATGGAGCCCTACTCTAGATCTACAAAATCAGAAACTCAGGGAATGGGCCCAGTAGTCTGAGTTTTAATAAGCCCTCCGAAGGATCCTCATGCTTATTAAAGTTTCAGACCTACTGTAGTTTCTGATTCAGTAGGTCTGGGTAGAGAACTGAGAATTTGCATTTCAACCTTACAATGTAGGTCATGCTGCAGTTGCTCTAGAACTGTAAGAGCCAGTGCAGTGGAAGAAGCTTCATCTTCCTTATCCTCCATACAAGCATCATTCCATTCTCTGAACCTTCCTTGACTATCCTTTCTTGCCTGATGATCAAGAGATTGGGTATGAGACCTGAGCACCTGTAGCATATTGATTTGTCTGTCTGTTTCTGGCTTTCATTTTTCTTCCTCTGTAAATAGGACTGTCCATTTCTAAACCCAACATGATCTCCTTATTGGAGCAAGGGAAGGAGCCTTGGATGGTGCAAAGACAGATGTCACATGGTCACTGTGCAGGTGAGTGACAGATAACTGGGCAGGGAGGGCCACTATGAAGAGCCCACCCATGAGGTCATGAGGAAGCTGCCCTTAGCTTCATTCGGGTGGCACTTGAAATCCTTTAGCACATGCTTTCCAGTAAACTTTGCTTTCACCTAAGGAACCCCTTTCCCATTTTACCAAATTATATGCCTGACAAATTATATTCTCTTATCTTCCACCTATAAACTTGAGTCTTAATCCTTCCAAGTTTTTTCCCACTTAGGGTTAGAATTGTATATATCTCTAGATTTCTTTGTAGAACTTTTATTTTTATCAAAATTATTATCAAGCTTATCTATGCACATTGCTTAAGTAAATTAGTAGTTTTACAAGGCCTTTTTCCTTAAAAGAGGATTTATCTTGCCTTGTTTTCCAGTTGTCTCTCTAGAAGTATCTGTTTTCCCTTCTTTCGTAACTTCTTTGAGTGTTTCTTCACTTCTCTAAAAATATGTTTAATATTTTTATTTCTTGATTTATTTTTTTTTTGGTTTAGTTCTTATCGTGTATCTTCAGATTATGAAAATAAGGATCTAATACTTTCTTACTCTGAACCCAACACATGTACATACACAGACGCATACACTTCCCATCCTTCTATTTTTCCATTTCAGATTTGATTGCCATATCATTCAGTGTTTATATTATTATGGCTATTTATCTTTAGTCTTAGCTATGCTGTGCATATATCAAGACTGCTTTTTAGCTGGGCGTGGTGGTGCACGCCTGTAATCCCAGCACTCACGAGGCTGAGGCAGGAGGATCACTGTGAGTTCGAGACCAGCCTGGGCTACAAAGTGCACTCAAGCCAGCCTGAACTGCATATCAAGACCCTGTCTCAAAAAGACAAAAAAAAAAGAAAAAAAAGATTGCTTTTTTTTTTTCCTTTTTTAAATTTTATTTTATTTTTTTTTATTTTAAAGAATAAAAGAAGGATAACATAATAATAGGGGGGACTTAGCAAATTACAGACAAAATGGTAGGAAATTATCAATGGTTATCGTTTTACATATTATTATCTACAAAATAGTTTCTCAGGAAAACAAATAGACAAATAATAGTGAGTTAGAGACAAAAGAGGTAGGAGATTATCAAGAGGTGTTGTACTATACTTTGGTATCTTCAAAGTGGCTTCTAAAGAAAATAAATAGAGCTATACATGAGTGACCTATTGAAAAATCATTAACTATTCTCAATGGTTGTTGTAGGAAACACATAATAATAAACATACATCCATTTATGAAATAGGATAGGAACATTACAAACTTTACACAGTTATGGATAGATTAGTAGGAAAATATCAATGAAAGATTGCTTTTTATAACTTACTTTTGGTGGCACCAGAATGTGAACTCATGACCTCCATACTGAGTTATATCCCCAGCCCTTTAAAAATTGTTAAAGTTTTGAGGCAGTATCTTGCAAAGATGCCACATTGCCCAGGCTGAGCTCAAACTTGGAGTCCTCCTGTCTTAACCCAGAGTGCAGAGATTAAAGTGTGCACCACTACATCTGGCTTTATGACTTTTAATTTCCCCAGAGTTTTGTTTATTTGGGTTTGTTGTTTAGTTTTCTATATACATATCCCTAATTTAATTTCCAACTCTCCATTAATTGTGTAAATCTCTTAAGACATTTAGATGCAGTAGGTAGTCTATGGATTTCATCTTGGGGAAATCTCTCCTGGAGTCTTCTGATGTTTCACTCTGGCCAAATGATCCATTATATTTACATTTACTCAATTTGGTTTTATCTGATACTTCTTATGATTTGATTGAGGTAATGCATTTTTGAGCAGAATGCCACAGAAATATGTTATATACATTGGCAGTGTACCATACTAAAGTATTCAGAATGTTGGTATCTGATGATACTAATATCAGTGATACTAACTTTGCTCACTTAATGAAGGTGATATCTGCTTGGTTTCTCCATTGCAAATTCCTTTTTTTTTTTGAGACATGGTCTCGCATTGTAGTTCAGGCTGGCCTCAAACTCAGAGCAATCTTCCTGTCTCAGGCTTCCGAACGCTGGGATTACAGGCACGTGCCACCACAAATGGCTGTATTTGTTATTAATAAATACCTTGGGAGATATACTTTGAGACTATTCAGTTTGTTACAAGATTTTTGCCCATTAATTTTAAAATCCATTGGTAGATCTTATCTGCAACAATTACTACTGTGATGTTGATCTAATGCTGATTTTTCTGTTTCTCTGTTTTCTTCACATATATTTCTTTACATTCTTCTGTAGGGAAGATGCTTTTTTTCTCCCATTAATTTACATATTATATATGGATTTTTCCTATGAGGTAAATCAAATGACTCATTATTTTGTTGCTCAGATAGTTCCAGCTTTGACCATTGAGATCTCCTTCATGTTGGTTTCCTTGAACTTTTCACATCCCCCACATTCATTTTTTGAGCACTGCTTTCCTTCTGGCACTCCAAAGCATTCCAGGTTCATCTTGCTTTCCTTGCCCAAGCCTTGACTCAACCATTTCTCCAAAGAACCTTTCATTGGGGGATGGTATTTAGAAACAAAAGTCTGGGTTTAGATGTGCTTGTTGCTACAGGGATGTTGCTTTCAGGTTTTCATGTCAGACAGAGCTAGGAAATATATGTAAACACACACACACACACAAACCCCTGTATTTATTTCTGCGTCTGTAATGTTATGTACTAAAATTCTCCATTTATATTAATAACTTGATTCTATTCCTGATTCACAGGATTTGTTTAGTCTTTCTCTTTACTTATTTGTAATTTCTTTTTTGACAATGAGAAACAATGTATTTTTTTTGTTTGTTTTAATATTCTTATGTTATATGCATATATGTGTGTGTTTAGCTTATTCTTCTATGATATACATGAGGTTCTAATATTGGTGTAAGGTTCCTTTTTGTCTTCAGTCTTTTTTTTTTTGGTTTTTCTCTGGTACCGGGAACCGAACTCACGACCTTGCGCTTGCCAGGCAGTGTCTTCAGTCTTACAATATGTAGTCAAAATACTATTTGTAAAGTTACTTGGGTTAGATTCTTTTAGGTTGGTTTGTTGTTATTTGTATTGTATTTTTGGTCCTGGACAAGTGCTGGTTTGTTTTGGTTATTTACTTGGGGGAGTGTTATGGTTTGGGTCTAGATGTCCCACCAGAGCCTCATGCAGTCATGGGGCGGGCTTCTAGAGTTTGTGATTGATTCATGGTCATGCACTGGAACTATGGGTGTGAGTTCTACACCCATCCTGGGGCAGGTAGCCTGCATACAGTATAAGGGAAGGAAATAAATTTTCTCTCTCTCTCCTACCCCTTTTTTGGGTGGGGAAGGATACCAGAAATTGAACTCAGGACCTTGTGCTTGCCAGGCAGGCACTTGTGCTACTGAGCTATATCCCTGGCCCTCTCTTCCCCTTTTTGCTCTTGTTGCTTTTACTGTTTTCTGCCACCATGAACTGCTACCCTCTGCCATGTGCCACTCTGCCTTGGAGCCAGTCAAGTATGGACTGAAACCTCCACAGACTGAGCTAAGTGAACCTTTCCTTCCTTAATTTGGGGCATTACGTATTTTGTTTCAGCAATGAGAGAAAAGTAATCAAGTCAGGGGGGTAGCTGCAACATTAATTGCTTCTAAGTATCATAGCTGAACAAAATATATCTTCAGAAAGGTAAAATACTTTCCCAACTACAAATTTCATTGTTTTAAAAATATTTCAATATATATGCTATTTGGTTTCACTTATACTACTAGTTTATTTTAGCTCACTGAAAAGAAAAATTTGTGTTATATGTTTTTTGGTTTTTTGTTTTCTTTTTGAAACAGGGTCTCTCTATGCAGTTCAGGCTGGCCTTAGGCTTACTTTGTAGCCCAGGCTGGTCTCGAACTCCCAAGGATCCTCCTACCTCAGCCTCCCAAGTGCTGGGATTACAGGCATGCACCATCATGTTCAGTTGTTTGTTTGTTTTTTATAAGAAACTTTTTGGTTTATGTCTTGTACTCTGAGTAACTACTTTGAAGATAATTATACACAGTGTAAAAACTATTGTTTTCTCTTGTTATTTGATTATGAAATTTTTTTTTCATAAAATAACATTTTAAAAGATATATACTCAGAAATATGTTGATTCCTTCTCACCTCTACTACTACTGTATTTCTGTTCCCTATTCCTACCTCATTCCCACTTAACCTTTGTTGATTATTAATCTCTTCAGTTTCAGGTATGCTTTTTATGTTTCTTTTGTACAGCTGCACCAAGATATGTGTGTCTTCTCTCTTACATGACACACAACACCATATAGATACTCTAAATCTTTCTACCTTATACATTTTTGAATTGCTTGAATATTTTTATTTCAGTTTAAAAGGATAAACATTAAGGAGAAGCCCTAATGCTGATCTTTAGCTGCAATGCCCAGACAGTTCTAGACTGATAGGGAAATCCTTCCATGTATTCTCCCTTAACCAGGTGTGGTTCAAGTGTTCATGCTGCTCCTCAGTCTGTTCTCTTCTACATCGTAGGGGTATTTTTTTTTCCAGTGCTGGACACTGAATCTAAGGTGTGCAACCCCCTCTAGCAGTATGTATGCATCAAGTGTGTTTCTCTTGATATTTTCTCTTGACATTTTTGGTGTGGTACTGGGGATTAAACCCAGAGCCTTTGTACTGAGTTATATCCCCAACCCTTTTTACTTCTTGAGATGAGGTTTTGCTAAGTCACCAAATTGTCCAGTGTGGGATCAGACTTACAATCCCCCCGCCTCACCATCCCAGAGTACTGGGACTACAGGCATATTCTATTATGCCTGGCTTCACCAAGATCATGATGGAAGGAAGGCATAAAATGTAAGGTCTTACATTGGTGAATTCCTACCATCTTGTCTAGTGAAGCTCTGTATCATTTCTAATGTTTTTTTAAAATTATTTTTTATTATCTTTAATAGTCTGATCAATCTTGCATTTTTTACATCTGGTAATCTGAGCAACTTCATTGAAGATAACAATATGTAATATAACAACTACAGTTAATTCCTATCATTCTGTTTTGAAACACTGTCATTTTTATTGTTTTTGCTTTGTTTTGTTTTTGTCTATGTTGTTGTTGTTTTGTTATTTTTTTTATTCTCTTTAAAATAAAAAAATGTAAGGCTTTGAGTCACATTATCGGTTCTAGAAACTTCTTGTTTTCTTCAGAATTTTTAATATTATTGATCATTTTGTCCATGTGTTTTTTGAATAATTTGCTAAGTTAAGATGTAAAATCCTTATGGAATTCTGACTGAAACTGACCTGATATACACTAACATGATGTTAGGAAAAGTATGTATACAGTATATTCCTTTTTCTCTGGGGGCCAAAGTATGTATACAGTATATTCCTCTTGTGGGATGACTCAATTGATGAAGAGACAATTTGGTGACTTAGCAAAACCCTGTCTCTTGTATATACTGTACACACATTATATCTCACATTTATTTATTGTAATTTAATTTATTTTCATAATATATTTTAGGAGGTTTTTAGTGTTTCTGCAAACCATACTTTTCTCTTTCAGTTACTTACATGCCTGTCATAATCTATCATAATCATTGCCTTTACTTCAAATTCTCTTCCACTCTTTTACCATTTTCAATCTGGCTTCTGTCCTTCTAATCTGATTAATTTAGTGGCTTTTCTTAATTTTCATATTCCTCAGTTTACTGAAATGTATAAGATAATTCTGACCACTATCTGTTTGCTTTTTTCAAAACTCTTTTCTCATTGTTTTGTTCCCTATAATTGACTACAAGTTCCTGCTTTTCTATCTTTAATGATAAGATCTTTGTCACATTAACTTTAATGTACTACCTAACAGAATTTTGTGTGATGATGAAAATAATCATCACAGAAGCTACCAGCCACATTTGGCTTTGGTACTTAAAATGTGGTTAGTGTGATTAAGGAACTAAAATTTTATTTTAATGAATTTAAACTTAAATTGCAATGTATAGTTAGTAGCAACTGTATTGGATAGCATAGCTCTGTTTGTACATCTTTTAAAGGAGGTGATCCAATCTGTAAGTTTGTGTCATTGGTCAAGCTATTCATTGGAACATAATTTGGGCATTAAGAATAAACCTTTCTTCTTGAGATTTCCCTATAGGTCCCAGATTTTTTCCTCCTGACTTCCTTCTAGAATCTCCTAGGTTTAATGCCAGTAATATAATGATGATTTATTTACTTCATCAGTTGAGTTATCCCACAATATCTGCAGGGTTTTTTGATCCAGGTCTCATGCTAATACCAAAATCCATAGAAGCTTGAGTTCCTTATATAAAGGTATAGTATCTCTATATTATTTTTCATGTCTAATTCTATGTAAATACTATGTAAATATGTGTTAGACTCTATTGTTTAGGAGAAAATGACAGGAAAGAAGTGTATGCATGTTCTCTACAAATGCCATTTCCCCCCCAATATTTTCTGTCCTTACCTGGTTGAATTAGTGGATGCATTTACCCATTTGTCTGTATCCCACCAGTTCAGCATGTGGGAATGTCCACAGTCTAGTAAGATCTTCTTTCCTTCAACATCATAGTTCAGCCTATACAGTTCTGGTTGGATAACAAAGTTGATCATAGCCTGCTGTCTAACTTCCATCCAGTTATAGACTATAGCCAACTGGAAAGTACATGTTAATACTGATATCAGATACATTGCCTGGATCCTTTTTAACTTCAAACTGCTTACCTTTATCTTTCTTGTTTTTTTGTCTTATCACTTGACAGTTAACCTATTGCATAATATATGTTCAGATGTAAATGTAATAATATCTAAGCATACTAGTTACATGGGTGAAAATCACTTAATGAGTATACATTTGTTTTATGATAAATATTATTGAGTATCTATAATGAGCCAGGTGCTGCTAGATGTGTTACAAATTTATTTTCTTATTTTCATATTGTATTTGCAAGGTAACCTAATTTTGCCAAGCAGAAAACTTAGGATCAAGAATAGGTTAATCAGTTTGTTAAAGATAGAATAATTGGCTGCCTAGATGCAGAATTAGGATTTAAACCCCAAAACCTGTATTGTTTTCACTGAGCCACTGGATGTCCATTTGGCAATGCTCTACTTTGCTTGAATCCATAACTTTTCTTTTCCTCCTTGGTTGCCTGTGTATGTGAATTTTCTTTTCTTACTTACTTTTTTTTTGCTGAATGTCATTATGGTACCTTTAACTTGTAAGTATTTTCTCTACTCCTCCCATAGTGAGTATATCTTCTACCTTCAAATAAATTTTTCCAGCTCTATACTTTATCTGGGCTACTTCTCCATGTGGAATTCATTTCCCTACAGTATTGATCTGCTTTTTTTTTTTTCTTTTTAATGAAAGTGGTGGAGCTTCAGGCACCTTAGAACCCCTCAGGTAGGAAAATAGGTATAATTTTTCCCATTGGGCTTCCTTTATTTGGTATTACATTGGATAGTGTATAAACCTGCCATTTGCCTAGAATAGAGAAATGTTTTCAATTGGTAAGAAGGAACATAGTGGCCCTGGGTGTTAGATTTAAGGAGGTTTGAGAGAGTAGGTAAAAGAACTAGCAACAGTCAGGTGTGGTGGTGCATACCTATAATCACAGCACTTGGAAGGTTGAGGTAAGAGGTTCACCAGGAGTTTGAGGTCAACCTGGGCTACATAGTGAGTTTAAGGCCAGCCTGATCTATGCAGCAAGACCCTGTTAAAACAAAACAAAGAAAAAAATTGAACTAATAGTATGGACCAAATGAAAGATAAGTGAACAAAGCCCACATAGTGCTGGGTTTAGATAGGGGCCCAAGTAATAGAATCCAAGGCTGTGCATGGGAGAAACTGACAAGAACAGGAATTTCTTTAGGTGGAATGTGTATTTGAAAGAACAATACAGATACATAATCTGTTCATTGCTTTTCAGTTTTGTGCTGACTGAGTCTGTATCATGAGCTGGCCAAGTAACTGATCTAAAATGAGTGTGTGGTGAAGGCTTAAATAACAGAGACAAGGAATATGGTTTGGGGGTGTCTAGAAAAGTCAGAACTCTCTTGGAGCTAAGACAAAGACTTCTCTGGCCTGCCAGTATTTATTGAGTCCTTAACAATTTTGTGGAGGCAGGAAGTGGAGGGCACATCTGAGGCAGAGCCCATGAAAATGAGCAGGCCTTGAGAAGTTAGAACAAAGACATTCTAGGCAATAAATCTTGCTAATTAAGAGAACTGTCTTATCTCTAAAATTGGCACTTTATTACTCTTGAATTCTGAGTGAGATTCAGCACCTGCAGCTGCAGTGCTATCTTGTCTTCAAAGACTGTGAATTTGAACTTTCCCTAACACAGCCAGAAAGCACTGTGGTCAGCAACTTAACCTTTACACAGCCCCATGCCCAACAAATATGGAGGGAGTTTTCCTTTTCAACAGATAGGACTTGTTAGGGAACAAAGCTACATCTAATTAAATGTGAAATGCTGAAGTGTGCAATTCTAAAATAATACCTTACATCTAAACTTGAAAATTGTTCTGTTATTGAAATAATCACTACATTTTGGAAGCCTGATCATAGCTTTTAAAAGCCAAGATTATGTTCTCTAGGAATTTTTCCACAGATAAACTAGTAAGTTTTGATCTCTTTTTCCTCAGATTTATACTAACAGAAATCTATATTATATTACCTAGCCTTTCATAATGTATCATATTGAATCACTGCACATACTCTACAAACTTTAACTCCTTAATTCTTAGAGTTTAAAAAGGGAGAAGGACATTGTATCAGACTGATTTTTACCTCTGTTAGGTCCTGGGCACGTGGTAATTTGTTACTATATTTTAATATATTATTGTGATGTGACACAAACAGGACTTTCTCATTTTCCTCATTTTTGAATTAATTTTTTTTCTTTCTACCTTTCCTCAACCAGTGTCTGGTATGAAAGTATCAAATGTCTACTTTGTAGGCATCATTTGTTTTTGATGAGAAAAGCTGCTCTTCAGATTTCTTCTAAACACTAAGAAAAAAACCTAATTTTTTTCTGAATCCAGATAAAAACTTAGAAATTGCAGAGTGGCATTAGTGGAAAAAATTATATTAGTCTGAAAGCATTCATTCATTCATAAAAGTACTGTCATTACTCTATGTACTTGATGCAGCAGTAAGAAGAAAAAAAATAGATGCCAATCCTTGTCTTGATAAAGCTTTGACTTTTATAAATACCAGGGCAGGATGGTCTAGAGTCTTTAAAGACTAAAAGCAGGGAAACTAATTATGACTTAATCAGTCATTCTTAATTAGTTACCTTGTTGGTGTTTAGCTTTCTATGCCTCTTATGTTCTATAATTTAACTGTTTTACCTGTCACCTCTGCCCATCACTGATACACACACACACACACACACACACACACACACACACACACACACCTTTATTCATCAGCTATCTTCATTCTTTGTATTTTGTTCATATTTCACAGCCATGTTTCTACCCTCCTTTACCCTAGTTAAATTCTTCAGTTGCTTCCATAACAGTTTTTTTTTTCTCCTAGTAAAAGAATAAAGGAGACATTTGCTTTCTTGATATTTTTCAGACTGGGAGTCTTGGTGTGAAATGAAGCGACTGTCCTCAAAATGGTTCACAGATGAAGAACTATCCCAGGGAATGGTAATGAGAAAGATCAAAAGTCATAGCCTTCAATGCTTCAATTTCAGAGAAGCCTGGAAATATGAGGGTGAATTTCCCTGGCATCAGGGAAATCAGGAAAGGCACTTCAGGCACATGCCAACTCTTAAGAACATCTCTACTAGGAAAAGACATAACGAATATAATAATTCTAGGAGGAACATCCCCTTGCAGTCAGTGCTTTTAACACAATGGAGAGCTCCCATAGTAGAGCAACTATGTAAATTTGATATTTATGATAAAATCTTCTCTCAGAATTCAGTCATAATTGAATATGAAAGACTCCATTCTGAGAAGGAATCTTTTATAGATACTGAATGTGAAGAACTCAGTAAGAGTATACAATTTATTAAAGATACACGAATTCCTTCTGGTGAGAAACCTTATGAAAGTAATGATTTTTCAGATCTCTTGAGTTTCCACTCATTACTTACTCAACATCCAACCAGTAATTTTGGAAAATTACCCCATGACTATGATGAATTTGGTGATGCCTTTAGCTGTTATTCGTTCTTTACTAAACCTCAAAGAATTCACAGTGGAGAAAGACCATATGGAAAAGCCTTTAGCCATGACTTCTTTCTCAGTGAACATCAAAGAACTCATAATGGAGAGAAACCATATGAATGTAAGGAATGTAATAAAGCCTTCAGACAGAGTGCACACCTTGCTCAGCATCAGAGAATCCACACTGGAGAGAAACCGTTTGCATGTAATGAATGTGGGAAGGCCTTTAGTCGTTATGCTTTCCTTATTGAACATCAGAGGATTCACACGGGAGAGAAACCTTATGAATGTAAGGAGTGTAACAAAGCCTTCAGACAGAGTGCACACCTTAATCAACACCAGAGGATTCACACTGGAGAGAAACCCTATGAATGTAATCAATGTGGAAAGGCCTTCAGCAGACGAATAGCCCTTACTCTTCACCAGAGAATTCACACAGGAGAAAAACCCTTCAAGTGTAATGAATGTGGGAAGACCTTTGGCTATCGCTCACACCTTAATCAACATCAGAGAATACATACTGGAGAAAAGCCCTATGAATGCATGAAATGTGGCAAGTTTTTTAGGACTGACTCACAACTTAATCGACATCATAGAATTCATACCGGAGAAAGACCATTTGAATGCAGTAAATGTGGGAAAGCCTTCAGTGATGCATTAGTTCTAATTCACCACAAGAGAAGTCATACTGGAGAGAAACCCTATGAATGTAACAAATGTGGGAAGGCCTTCAGTTGTGGCTCATACCTTAATCAACATCAGAGAATTCATACAGGAGAGAAACCTTATCAATGTAATGAATGTGGGAAAGCTTTCCATCAGATCTTGTCCCTTAGGCTACATCAGAGAATTCATGTGGGAGAGAAACCCTATAAATGTAATGAGTGCGGAAATAATTTTAGCTGTGCCTCAGCTCTTAGACGACATCAGAGAATTCATAATAGAGAAACCCTCTTATTATAGGAAAGGAAACATTTAGTCACCTTTCCGTCCTAAGTACCAGTGAATTCTGTTTGGTTAATACTTCTATGAATGTAATACATGAAGAAAAACCTTCAGCTCAGGGGCTGGGATTTAGCTCAGTGGCACAGCGCCTGCCTGGCAAGCATGAGGTCGTGAGTTCGATTTCTGGTACCGGAAAACAAAACAAAACAAAACAAAAAAAAACAACTTCAGCTCATGATCATTATTTGAAATGACCTGAGTAGTAGACATCTGTTATTTTTTAGTCTATTCTATATCCACCTCTACCTCCCTCAATGCATATGATCCTGATGAAATTGAATCAGCAGTATATTGGTCATGGATAGCAATTATTTTCCCTCAAACTAGTGGTTAGTAAGAAATTGGCACCTGGGCACAGTGGTGGATACCTATAATCTCTGAGAGGCTGAGGCAGGAGGATTGCAAGTTTCAGCACAGTCTGGGCAACTTACCAACTTAGCAAGACCATATTTCAAAATAACGAAAGGGGGTAGCTGAGGATGTAGCTCAGTGGGAAGGCCCTGGATTCAATACCAGGACTGAAAAAAAAATAAATTTACAAATGTCCATATGTAGACCAGTAGATCTTTTTATGGTTATTGTTATGTCTAGTAAGGGAAGATTTTTAAAAAATTTTTTGGAATTGCAAGTTTTGAGGATTCTATAAGGTTAAAAATTTGTCAATAGCTTTGTGCCACCCAATGCAGAAAGCCTTTGAAAAGAGAAATCCAAGGAAAATAGAGATAAGAGACATCTAATGACATCCTTTAGTCTGGGTTCAGCCATGTGTGATGTCTACACTGTCCTTTTACATTTTTGTGATCCAATAAATTTCCTTTTTCTTTTTGCTTAAGTTAATTTGAATAGAGTTTTGACTTTTGGAACTAGAGTATGTTTGCTATACATTTGAGAAATCCTTAATCATTTATGGGGCATAATTATTTCTCAAAGGAAAACCTTATGATTATAAAAGTTGAGTAGTCTTCATAAAGCTGAAAGGATTGTTACCTTTTGCTGATAAAAATTAGTCTGTTTCACATTAAGAACGAATGCTTTAAAATTCACTTAGTAAAATTCCTTAACAGGGCTTCCTTTTAGGAGATAAAATTATTTTGGGCAATGACTCACATCTTGGGCCTGAAAAGGGAGGCTGGAATCTAAGAAAATTATGAATCCATCAATTTAATGAATAACTCTTCACCTCAAAATAATTTTCTTTCAGTATGGTTTAACTATTTTTGTGACAATATAATAAGGTAGCACTGTAAAGCAGGTCTGCTTTTGTGGGTGGGCTACAAACTTGGTTTAAGAAGTTTATGGATAATTTCTTGGGAATGAGAGATGTTAGACATTGTTGTCACACAAAAAGAATGAGCCAATTTACAATACAAATTTAGTGTGATTCACTACTTTAGACTTTGAAAAGAAGCAAATATTATAAAACATTGCCAAACTTATATTACATCTAATGCAAAATGGGTTAATGTCATGTTTAATTTTTGTTATCATTTCTCTATTTTAGTTCCTGAACATATAGGAATACTTATTTTTAATAATTTATAGATATTGAGTAACTTATTTTGGAAAGTTTTCCAAAGTTATAGAAAACTTACTAGGCCTAAAAGAAGAATAATGACTCAGACCATTAAAGAGTCTGAGTTACTCAACTGATTTCTGATCTGACGGTGGCAACTGATTTCTTCCTCCAAAGTGACACCAGCCTAAACTACTGGTTGAATCTTGTTTTTACAGTTAAGTTTTGCTTATAATGTTGAGAAAAATATTTTTTACCCATGGCTTTGGCTTAAGTGTGTGTATTTTGCAATCAGATATTTCTTCTCATGGTGAAGTATTAACTTTTGTTTGTATGAAACCTTTCAACCCATTGTCTTGTTGTGATATAATGACCTGATTTTTTAGCATTATTGAAAATTTATGCTTTATTTTTATCTGATTGTTGTTAGGACCATCTAAGATTCTTGTGTGTGTGTGCATGCGTGTGTGCCTGTGTGCACATGCACATGCACCTGAAAAGGAGATATATATATATATATATAAAATATATGTGTGTGTATATATATGTATATATATATATGTATACATATATATAAAATTGTAGACTTCATTCTAAAGTAGGCAATGGAGATATATCAATAAACCAGACAAAAATTCCTGCCTTCAGAGGGCTAATTTCTAATGAGAAAGACAGACAATAAAAAAGATAAGTAAGTAAAATATACATTATGTAAGAGAGTTAAATTCTAAGGAGAAAAAGTGCTGGAAAGGATGACGGTTGCCAGAGAAAGTTTGTTTTAAAGTTGACTTTTGAGTCAAGACCTGAGATATATAATAGTCTGCCTATTTTAATTTCTTTCTTTCTTTCTTTCTTTCTTTCTTTCTTTCTTTCTTTCTTTCTTTTTCTTTCTCTTTCTTTCTATCTAGCTATGTATTTATTTTAAACTTAGTACTTAGGTAAATTTATTCTTATATTTTATTTTGGTCACATATTTGTGCATTTTACTATTTTTCTTTTGAGTCAGATGAGTGTGTGTGGCCTTTTACTTCTTTTTTGTGTGCTGGGGCTTGAACCCTTTCATACTGAGCTAATCCCGAGCCCTTTTCTATGTTTCATTTTGAAACAAAATCTTACTAAATTCCTCAGGCTAGGTTTCAACTTATGATCCTCCCACCTCAGCCTCCAAGGATGATTGGATCACAAGTATATACCACCACCTCAGCTTACCTTTTATAATCTTAAAATTTTTTAATTAATTGTATAGTCTTTTGACTCTAAATTCCCAGGATTTAGCAACTGGGGGGTCAATTTAAATGAAATCCTTCCCTCCCTTTAGCAGTGCCCTGATGTCTCTCTCTCTCTCTCTCTCTCTCTCTCTCTCTATATATATATATATATATATATATATATATGAGATAATAACTGTTAACATTCATAAGGGGATATAAAATCAGAAATACTTTCCCATACAAAATAGAAAATAAATTTTCTCAGTGAAAGGTCTTGCAGGTAAGGCTTGGGGGCCTCAGAGTATCTAAAGTGAGATTTCATTTTTTAAATATATTTTCTGTTTTCTGTAGTTTTTGTAACCAAGAAGAAAAATACCTAACTTTACAGTAGAGTTTACTTTAATAAGAAGTATGTATTATCTTTCATAAAACTTGAAATTGTTCAAGATTTATAACATAATTGCTTCAATAAGTAAAAAAAATTTGGGAATTGTTCATTTAAAATTGCCTCATTTAATGTAAATTAGGAAGTCTAAGTTTCTTCAGATGTATTGCATTTGCTCTCTTACTCTTTTTAAAAAACATTTCAGGTAGTTTTTCTGAGGAAAGGATAATGTAAAACTTTGTAGAATTTGTTATTTTCTAGAGTCGTTTTCCTTTTAGTAGCAATTATATTTGCATGGTACAACTGCACATGAACTTCAGGCAAAATTGGTGCTATTATGATTAAGACCCTTTTAAGAGACAGCTAAACAGATTCACATCCCTTTTGTCTTGCCTCCCAATGTAAGGGTAGAGTCCCAAACGACAGTGACCCTGACCCTTCTTTCTGCTCCTGGAGTGGAAGCTAGCGCAAGTCACTTATGGTTCTCTCTGGGACACTGCCTTTCATTAACAGAGTCCAAGAAGAGAAAAAGGGCACTGCTCTTACTTCATTTTGAGTGTTTTGAACCTTTAATAATAGTACATTTTCAGAATAATTTAGTGCAACATTCATTTCCTGGTTTTTCTTTCCCCTTACATTTCCAATTTCTGTTCTTCTCTACAGACATGTATATAGATGTTTGGCATCTGTTCTTTTCTCTCTCTCTCTCTCTCTCTCTCTCTCTCTCTCTCTCTCTTTTTTATCTTTTTTTGAGACAGGGTCTCACTATGCAGTTCAGGCTGGCCTTGAGCTCACTTTGTAGCCCAGGCTGGTCTCAAACTCGCAACGATCCTCCCACCTCAGCCTCCTGAGTGCTGGGATTACAGGCATGTGAGACTACACCACACCTGGCTGGCATCTGTTCTTAAATGGGTGCAAACAGGTCATATATTGTGAGTTTGAAATTTACACTAATGCTGTAAATTAATTTTCCTCATGTTCCTCTTTGTTTGAACATATGTGTGGAGATTTATAGCATTTACTGTATTTATTCCTGTAGTGATGGCTATAATTTATGGCTGCCACAGAAAACATTCTACTAAGTATTCATTTGTGGCCCTGAGGTATATTAGAATATTTCTTTAGGAATTACAGTTGCAACCCTGCATTCAAAAGCTAAAGAATCTGGGGCTTTACCAAATTAGGCATCCCTCAATCCAGTCAAGTCGATAACCAAAATTAGCCACCATGCCAATATATTAATATTGAGTCTTTTGAGGGTTCTGAATTTGATTCATGCTTAAAATCCCCTTCATATCTTGAGCATTTGGTTTATTTTTTGCTGCTACTTGAAACTAGATGATTCATAGAGTATACCTTTATTTTCTCACACTTCTTGGAGTTTGGGAAACCTTAAGATCAAGATACTAACTTCTGGTGAGAGCCTTGCTATGGACCCATATCGCACAAGGTCATGAAAGACCTTTCAACATTGAGCCCTTTTATAAGGGTTCAAAACCCGTCTGTGGGGTCCATGAGCCCTCTTAAAGGCCTCCAGTCTTTTTTGTGGTGCTGTGGATTGAACCCAGGATCTTTACATTGAGCTACATTCCCAGACCACCCCCGTTTTTAAAAGTTTTTCAAACAGGATTTCACTAAGTTGGTAAGTGGCCCAGACAGGGCTCAAATTTGTAATCCTCCTGTCTCAGCATCCAAGAGTGCTGAGATTTCAGGTGTGTGACATCACAGCTAGCTCCCACTTTTTTTTTTTTATTTTAAAGAGTAAAAGAAGGACAACATAGCAATAGGGGGATTCACCGAATTACAGACAAAGTGGTAGGACATTATCAATGGTTGTTATTTTACCTATTGGTATCTTCAAGATAGTTTCTCAGGAAAACAAATAGACAAATAATAGTGAGTTACAGATAAAAATAGCAGGAAATTATCAATGGTTGTTATACGATAGCTTGGATTCTCCAAAGTGGTCTCTAGGGAAAACAAATAGAGCTATACATGAGTGATCAATCAAATAATCATTGACTGTTCTCAGTGGTTGTTGTTGAAAACACATAGTAACAAACATACATCCATTTATGAAATAGCATAGGAACAATACAAACATTACATAGTTATGGACAGATTGGTAGGAAATCAGCAATGGCTGCTGCAATACATTTTGGCATCCTCAAAGTGGCTTCTCAGGAAAACAAAGATATGCAAGAAAGATCCAACAAGTAGTTACAGTCCAAGGGTTGAGAAAAATAGCGGATCACCTCCTCATCGTGACTCCCCTCACTGAGGTGTGATGGCTAGAAGGAAGGCCAGGACTGAAAAGAAGGACCGAGAGACCAGCACC